AGCAAAGGACAGTTTCCGTGCGAAAAAACATAATACTTGCCTCTTACAATGATATTAAAACAAGATTCGAAGGACCCGAATCTGGGTGGCAAGTTAATTAATGTCGTACAAGTGAAAGGCAATAAAATAAATGCGTCGAGTTAAATCCGAAGGATTTAGACAGATAGGTCAATTGAGAAGAATCGGGGACGTAATTTATATCGGAGCTTTATTTGGACTCGTTTCAATTTCTGCATATGCTACTCTGCTATGTGTGTTTAATTGCGTTTCCCTTCTGTAATTTATGGCGTACGAGATCGCGTCCTAAAACTTTGAATCGCAAGTTTACAACCATTAATTAAATCCTTTTTTTATTATTGCAGGTTCACCAAATACGAGTCCAGTATTAAATTTATCGAAAAACGCGAGCGGCGGCAGCGCAGGATCGCCGGTCGACGGCGACCATTCCGGTAGCGAACCGGACGTACCGCCCTCGCCGCACTCGCCGACGCATTCCGTTCCGGACGACGACGACGACGATAACATCTCCGATCCGGACGATGACGATGAGAAGGATCAAGGTATGGGAGAAAAAATTATAATTAAGGTTTAAATATTAGTCATTAATCGTTAGTTTACATGGTTGGTCTTTTTGACGTACTGTATTAATGATGCAAGTGACTCATCTTGACCTCTTACAACATTACTTTGTAATTTCTTATTGGAGGCATTGGACGGTAGAAAAAAATCCAATCAACTTAAAATAAGCGCTTCAAATTAATCTTTGTGTTCCGTACGAAGCGCCATCTAACACTCATTTTTGTATGAATAATGACATTAGCAAAACACTTTTTCTCCTAGGACTAAAAGTTCGCACTTTTCCTGATCGAAACTAAATTCTACCATTATTGTAAAAAAAATGCTCGGATGCACCTTATATTCCCGTAATATACTACTTTCCCTCATAAAAAAGTAAAGTCAAGACAGTAAAAAAACTAATAATAAACAGCAAGATTAACCGCAAGCGCCATCTGCATTCGACATTGACCGTAAAAGGTGGAATTTCCACTGAGAGGATAATAAAATTTTGTGTAAATCCACTTTAAGACCGCTAAAGGCGACTTCTAGTAAATCCTAGTCAACGGTAAATTGCGTGAGTTAAAATTAAAATTTTACAGCCACGTCTGGACAAAGTCTAGTCAATGCTGCAACCTCAAGGTTTTTTCCTCATTTTTTTCTTCAGAATATGCGTGTGCTTAGCCAACTGAAGAAAACCAGTCCAGCATTCATAAATATTTTTGATTGCACAAATAGGGAATCGAGTTACAATTCGAAAATTCGCTTTATGGACTGTTGCGTCGATTAACTTTGGAGCGGTTGTCAACAGGTTTTTCTCTTCGGGCGAGAGGGTCTCTTATTGTAATCGTGCATCGAAATGATATAAGTTAACATTAACATCGTATAAATCATATTTGATTGCCGATGCGTGTTGGTTTTACCTTGTTTTTACTCGACAAGAAATATGCGGGGCTAATTTGTTTGTTTTAAGACGATGAGAAAAAGATTCGATGGCGGAATTTTAATGCGCGACGGTAGAGGGCACGAGATAGATGGTACTCTGACACGCTTCGTTTTGACGACTTAATAATTGAAAAGAAAAAGACCTCCAGTACTATACACGTCGGATTCTAATTAACATATCTATAAATAATTAAACATTCCCGCGTTTCTTTAATTACAGCTACAACGTTCGCGTTATTGGTCAACGCTGTATGGTAATTAAGATGCCGCTCACTATTTTTGAAGTGGTTTCTAGGAGCAATAACGCCCGTAATTAACTTATTAATTTTAATTAATTGCAAACTGCGATTATGATTTGATTTCGAATATCCCCAACGATGATTACAAATAACCGTGTAACCAAATTGCAATTTTTTTTAATTGCGCCACAATTCTCGATTGCTGGAGAATATTAAATAAAAATGTTGCATTTGTACCGAACTTCCATTCAAAAACCACAGGCCCTCAAGTGTGACCTTGTGACACTCCCTTTAATATCAGTTTTACTACGGCGAGATCTTTTTCCAATAGATTTTAGGTTTAGCCAGGGGTTTAGCTAATGTGAATTTAGCTCCACTTATTGGTACGAGCATAGATTAAAATTAATCTATGGTACAAGTGCTAACATAATCTTCAAATAAGAATATAATATGAATTTTGCTACCGCAGGAGAGAAATTATCAACCGTTTATGTACTGTAAAAGATGCAAACAAATAAGTGCATCGTAAACACAAATGGACATCATAATAATAAATGTAATTCACTTACCCATGATTGGTCGCTCACGGCAGATCCAGGTTCTGAAACAAAACACAAAAGTAGTTAATGATCTTTTCAGTGTGTATTGTGCTATTAGATTCATTTCTAAGTGTCTATTTCATCGTATTTCTTTTATTTCGAAAAACAATTGCACACTGTTAATTTAAACTCTTATATATACAGGATGTAATATACATAGGTAGACAAATATGAAAATTCCCAATAGGTATATAGTCCCAGTTACAAATAAATGGTGTTTATTTATTATTTTGACATCTGTCGATAATATCCAACTCGATGTTTTGCTTTTTCCTGAAGAAAAATGCCTCCGAATCGCATCGATTGCTTGTAAAAGCTTCTGAGAACATGTTCTTGACCTAACGCAATGTTGTCAGTTGTTAAAAAAAATTGAAAAGCGAAGATTTTGACGTGAAAAACGAGAAACGCGGTTGACCATCACAAAAGGGTTTCAAACCATGGGTTCCAGAAGAACTCACTGAACCGAAGCAAAAAAAAACACCAAAGAACCACTTGTGAAAGGTACAAAAGAAAGTTTTTTTTTGCGTGGAATAGTGGTAGGCGGTGGAAAGTGGATCTATTTCGAGAATTCTACGCGAAAAAGATCATGTGATCATTTAAGATGAGCTAGTAAAACCGGACAAAACAATTACTGGAGACCGTTATCGGCAACACTGGTCGAGTTCTTACGACAGTGAAAAAATGGCTCAATGACCAGTTTGGCAGAATTTTTTGGCGAGGCATCCACAAATTGCACGAGAGATGGGAAAAATGTATGGCTAGTAATGGCTAATAATAAATAACTTGTACCGTTTTCTCACAATACACATCTAATTTGGAAAAAAATTCGACTTGGTCAATATACAGGGCGTCCACCGTTTTATAAGAAAAATTTTAACAAATAACCAAGGAATAAAAAATTTGAGATCCCATTTGAAATTACAAAGTTGCGCCCGTACATCTCAAAAGTGGGGATTGGGGGACCCAATTTTCAAGTCATTCAATAGACAACAACAATATTAGTAATCCCTGCGCTATTTGTTCAACAGTTTTAAGCTCCTGAGCTATGAAATGGATCAGACCACCCTGTATAACAAAAAAATTGCATTTCTCTTTTAACTTTTTCCTCAACTGAAGTCTTGATTTTGCTTAATTTTTTCAGAATTACTCGCCCTCATTAATCAAACTGCAAATTCATGAAAAAAAGTATCACTTACAAAACTAGTTGTACAATAACTATTAACTATTAAACTAAAATAGAAACTTGAAATTTGATTTACAGCCATAATAGAACATTGCCAACTGAAATAATATAATTTCAAGATGGCGCTTCCGTAAAACCCAAAAGTGGCGCCATCTTCGTATTTTAAGTAGAAACATTCGATTTGTTATTTTTTGCTTAATGTTCTCTTATACAGGGTGTCAATTTTAAAACTTGCAGTCGGCCATATTTTCCGAAGTAAACAATACTGAAAATTGCGGAAAACCGTTTCGTGGGTATCGAGGGGGAACCAGAATGACGTATCAGTAAGAACCCCCATCCACCCTTAATCCCCCAGCCCCCCTCTTCCAAAATCCTAAATTGCAACCCCATACTTGTGACGCATCGTTGGAAAGCTACTGAAAAATGCTTTCCAGTGGTACCAATAAAGCCAATATTTCTTAAGACAATTTAACAAAAATTTAATAATTAACAGCAAAAAACTAAATGTTGAAATTGAGGGATTTATGGCAAATCGGCCAAGAACTTGGGTGGGGGGTTGTCACTCATAACGTCATTCTGGTTCCCCCTCGATACCCCCGAAACGGTTTTGTGCGATTTTCAATATTTTCTTTAGTTTGGAAAATATGGCAGACTGTAAGTTTTTTAATTGACACCCCGTATAATCGAATCTAAGGAATTTTTCCGAAAATCTTGAAAAAGTTTCCAGAGCTGCTTCCATTTTTCAAAGTCAGAAAATATCAAACATTTCGTTTTTCAAATTGCAACTACTATTTCTGATGCCAGAAATGAATGTAGAGTTAAAGTTTAGGGCCTCTTTTATTGACATTTTGTATGCGTATGCCTATATCCGGTAGTTATTGAGTTATTGGCATCTTTTAAAAGAAATATTCTCATTTTTCATTAGGTGCAGTAGGCTTTGGAAGCAATCGTTTTATTTGGAAGGTCCACATTGTGTCTTTTCTGATTTGTTTGCTATTTATGGGAAGAGCTCAAAAACTACCGGATACAGAATGGTAATAAAAGTGGCCCTACGATTTAAATCAATATTCATTTTAGGCGTCAGAAATAGTGGTTACGAAAATCTTAAAACTGCTGAACTCCGAAAAAAATGGAGCATTAAAAAAATAGAATCGAATACGATTTTCAGTAGGGGAATTTTTTTCAGCTCGAATTCGGAAACTAGACTTTTAATCCGGCTCATATTCAATAGCACTGATTCTTGAAATCCTTGGAAATCGATTGGACGAGGAACATACGGACAGACCGACAGACAGACGGACGAGACCCTCACAAAAAAAGAAAAATTACGTACGTGCGGCAATTTTTTGAGATAACGCTCCTGGTTTTGTTCAAATTTTGGCTGCGCCGGAACATCATTAAACGATTTTTTGTATCAAATAATTCAAAATTTTGTTATTGTAAAGACCTTTTTGTAATTGTGTAAGGTTGCATTACAAAAAAACCTGAGAAAAAATGTGAAAATCTCGGCAAAGGGTTGCTATGCTTTCGTTAAAATTTTGCGAATGTAAAGTTAGGATAAGTGATTGTTCAGTTGTTGCTTTCTTTTTAGTTCTAATGCGAAAAATCTACATGTGTACATACAGTCTGTTCTATAAAAAGGGCCCAAGCAACTTTAATTGTATTTTTAAGCCATAAGACAACATAGTGTTAAATTAGACGGTCTTAGCTACAATTTGACGAACCAAAAAATGAATGTCATTTGTGACGTCGTTGCCATTTTATAACGTCAAATAAGTAAATAAATAACGCAATTGTTTTAAACTTATTCAGCAATTGTTTGTTGCAGAGAATTTTTAAAATTTAACAGCCTCACTTTTTTAATTCTCTATGAAATTTCTTTCGAAATAGGTTTCTAGTCTGTAACTTTTGATTGAGAAGTCTGATCCAAAAAGTACGAATTGTTTTGGATTCTACGCACCAAAATTAATAAGAAAAAGTGCTTTCCCGAGAAATTTTGGTGCAGTCGATTTTTGGTAAAAAAGGAAGGTATACACTGCCTTTTTTTGAGCCCCGTAAAAAAAATTGTCTCAGATCGACCCGGAAAAAAATGTTCTTATAGAATGTGGCCTGTAGAATCCATAATTTCAAACAGTTCCAAGATTGGGCTACTAGTTCAAAAGTTACAGCCCTTTGAATTTTCTTTCGAAATTGGTTTCTAGTCTATAACTTTTGATTGAGAAGTCTGATCGAAAAAGTACGAATTGTTTTGGATTCTACGCACCAAAATTAATAAGAATTCCCGAGAAATTTTGGTGCAGTCGATTTTTGGCAGGGTGTGTATATTAGTTGCAATAATCTAAGTTACTTATTAATACAAAGCGGAAATGTTAATTCAACTACTCCCGTATTAAAAAAAGCATGCATATGAGATGGTTGCCGTTACACACAGTTTTTTTGTATGAGTTAAAACAATATAATATAGTAAAACTAGCTATACACTTGGAACAATATGTATATGATACATTTTATAATTCTTCATAGCTATCCCTATACGTATTATATTTTTTGATAGCTATTATTATATTTTCAATTACCTTTAACATACATTTTTCTCCGTGCAACTTTTCAAAAAAAATGTTGCCGCCTAGGTAGCCTTTTCTGTAGGCTTTATAGCTTTAGAGCAAATTACAAATTCGATTACTGCAGATATTTTGAAAAAACGGTTATAGTCAAATAGGCAGTTTTGCAATTACCACTGCCGAAAGATAACCCATTTTGTGAAAGTGGGGTTTCTTAAATAATTCCACTCAAATTTAAAGTACTATTGATCCGTCACAATTGATAATAATAATGTTGCAAAATCAGAGATGAGAGAAACATTAATTATGCCATATTTTTGTTACCAAAAAACACTTTTACTTCATCCATGCTAAATCATATGAAACAAAGACTATATTTCAAAATGGTAGACTGACTCACGCCAGCAATTATCCTTACCCACGACTATTATTAGCTAAACGGCCAAATTGGCTATTTCGATTGCAAATTTCTCCAATTTTACCATATCGCACGGTGTCCCGAGGAAACAACCCGTCAAAATTCTTACGTGCAATCGCGTTCCGCCGCAAAATTAATTCAATTTTTCAATATAAGAAAAACGATTCATCCATATCGCTTGACCCGTAATAAGAGGGGAAATAATGATTTAATGCCTAATATTTTCCGCACATTACTGCGTTAACTGCGTACCTACCAGTTTCCTTAATGTTTTAATTTATATATATTTTAGCAATTAACTTATATGAAGCGCTCGTCTAATTATAACATGAAAGAAAATTACAACCTCCTTCCAGCTGTTTTATTCGTATTTTATTAATACGCCCCTGTAGTTAATATGCAACAATGCCTCCACAACGACCACTTTTCCTATATCATTATTTCGGGCAAATTCCTCTTACGACCTCCATCTTTTTGTGTTGCAGACCTGGACGACGGCGATCTTCCCTTACCGACGGCGCCTGGTAGCGACTCGCAGCACACGGCTTTAAATTATTCGACGTTGGCGAGCGCAGTGGCGTCCGTCAACGGACCCGGCCAGGACGCCGCAATTTCCTCGACCGAAACGCTGTTAAGAAACATACAGGGTCTCCTGAAGGTGGCGGCGGAAAATGCCCGACAGCAGGAACGACAAATCAACTACGAGAAAGGTACAAATAGCAACATGGTATATTTATTATCGCTAGCCCAGTACTACATGTACCTCGCAGCGACGCAAAAATGTTGAACATTTTTTTAGTATTATTAATTGTACAGTCAGGCAAGACGGAGCTCTCATAAACTTTTGTACAAATTTTAAAAAAAACGTTACAACCAAAAATATTTTTTTATTTTGTAATGTATTTTATAGCATGCTGTGTAGTATTATTTTCGATTTTGTGTAATCCCTCTCTACGTAATAATTATCGTTCAACGCCAGTCTTTCTCAGTGTCAGTCAGCAGTGCCTATACCACTTTTTTGTGAAACAATTTCAGAAACTCTCTTTTGGTTGCGCGTTTAATTAAGAGATACCGCTCAGTCAATCGGCACAAATTTAACAATTTTAGCGTCATGCCTGTAGTCCGCAGAGTAAATGAATCCTAAAATTTACAATTTTACAAATTAAAAAAAATAGGTTTTAAAAGTCCCCCCAAAAAATGATACCTATGTAAGATTTTTGCTGAATTTTCAAATTTCTGTTATGTTGTCAAGATTGGTACTCTATAGCTGGTCATAAAATGACGTCTCAAAAAAGTTTTAGCTTTAGATAGGTACACAGATTGAAAAAAAGTTCAAAAATGTTAAAAGTTTTCATCATTTAATTCAATATCAATGCCCAGTTAAAATCAAAATTGCCAAAAAGCTATGGAAATATTTACAATGGAAAATGAAAACTACCCTCAAAGTCGAAAGCAAATTTTTTTACTGATTGATACGACGGCAATTTTAAATAATATTTTTTGAATTCAACGACCTTCCAATAGAATATTTCAAAGCCACCGTTCAGCATGAAGTTGTATTTCAAAAAAGCGCAAGTTTTTGGTTCTATATTCTTAATTTTTTTAATTCTTTCATTATACCTTTAAAATTTTAGTTTCATACGCACAATAAGTAGCGAATTGAAGTTATCAAAATGCTATTGCACTGGAAAATTTACTCCACTTAATTTCAAGAGGTTTGATTTCAAGCTCTCCTAGTAATTTTCCCTAATTTTATAAAAATTTGATGCTGCTTTGGGTCATACTCAAAAATTACTTGAATTTAAATTGAATTTTAACGAATTCGAGGTTGCGCTTAAATTTTAATAAATAAATAAAATAAAAATGTTGTCACATTTGAATAATATTTTGAAATTATTGATCAGTATTTTAACTAGAATTTAGTTTCAACTACGATTGGTAACAAATTTTTACTTTAAACTATACGCCAAGTTTGTGCCTTGAGGGTTACAATTATGCTCCAAATAAATTCAGTAAGTTCCACCACAGTACGTTAAGAAAGTCAGTGTTAAAATGAAAATTCTCATCCGAGATTCATAATTCAAGAGGAAGATAAAAGGCGAGCTCTAAATTTAAAACTTGTAATTACAGTTCAATTCCCAACCTTTTCTGAAGCATAGCCTCCTTAAGGGACAAAAAAATAACTACCGCCCTCTAGTCGTTTAGTCATAGTTAATTTTAATTGACTTGTTGGTACACTGATGCACACTGGTGGGAATATACTTCTTCGATTCCTTGAAAATTAATATCTCCCCATGTTATGCATCTTTGGGAATTCAGAAGAAATTTCTTCGTTATCCCAATTTTTAGGGTGGCCAGCCTTTTTGAATTTTACATACCTAGGAATATAGGCCCCCTTATTTTCAATAACGTAATTTATAACGCTATGTTAAATCAATAGAACTTTGATTAAACTGTACAATAAGTATAGATTTTTATTCTGAATAAGGAGGAATATACCACCGTTGGGTCCAATAGCCACGAGTACTTGCAATAAAATAATCTATAGATTTTTATTCCCCCAGCAACAAAAGAGAGTAGTGTAAGAAGCAGAAATATTCTACTCTACTCTACTTTCAATACCAAAAGGCCCCCCGGTAGTATATGCCCCCTTATTTACAATAACATAATCTATAACGTTATGCAAAATCAATAGAACTTTCAATAAACTGTACCCCTGTAGATTTATATTCTGAATAAGGGGTGATATACTACCGTGCGGTCTGAGGGGGGGGGGATATTCAACAAAAGAGAGTAGTTTAATTTTGAGTGACTGGCTTCGCAGACCTGATTCACGTGAACACGCCAGTCACAAAAGCGAGTGGCTTAATTATGAATGATCTCCTTTTGAATGGAGGGGGGATCGTATATTCCCCAGACCCCCAGATCAGTATGGAATACCCCCCAGCCACAAAAGAGAGTAGTTTAATTTCGTAAAGTTGATTAAAATGAAAATTCTTATTTTATTATAGGCATTTGATCACTATTTTTCATTTTAACATTTTAAGGTTTATTCTGAATGAGGGGGAATATACCACCAAGGGGCATGAGAGATATTCAACAAAAGAGAGTGGTTTAATATTGAGTGACTGTCTTCACAGAGCTGATCCAAATGACCCCGCCAGTCACAAAAGAGAGCAGTTTAATTATCAGTTACCCTCTTTTGACTGGGGGGTATTCCATGCCCCCCAGACCCCCCGGTGGTATATGCTTCCTATTTAAAAATAAAAATCACATTATGCTAAATCAATACTGCTTCAATTAATGAAAGTGATTTCATTTCTGAATAAGGGGGAATATGCCACCGGGGGGTCTGGGGGGTATGGAATACCCCCCAGCCACAAAAGAGAGTAGTTTACTTCCGTCAAGTTGATTAAAATGAAAATTTTTACTTTATTATAGGCACTTGATTAATATTTTTCATTTCAATATTTTAAGGTTTATTGTGAATGAGTGGGAATATACCACCAGGGAGTCTGGGGGATATTCAACAAAAGAGAGTAGTTTAATTTTCAGCGACTGTCTTCGGAGAGCGAATTCACATGAACCCGCCAGTCACAAAAGAAAGTAGCTTAATTATGAGTTACATTTTTTTGGGCTGGGGGTGAGGGTGTCCGCTATTTCTAAAGAAACATCACTTTAATAAAGTGATTTTTATTCTGAATAAGGGGAAATATACCACCGGGGATCCGGGGAGTATTCTATACTCCCCAGTAACAAAAGATAAGAGTTTAATTTTGAATCACTCTCTTCGCAGAGTTGATCCAAATTAAAATTTTTATTTCTTTATGGGCACTTGATCAAATCTTTTCATTTTAACATTTTAAGGTTTGAGCAAAAATGTTTAGCGATTGTATACTATACAGTGTGATTGATTTTTCGAGTCCAAGCGTATATTTCTTTTTTTTTTAAGAAAAAAAATGTAAGAAGCAATAATACTCTACTTTCACTGTCTGATAAAGCTACATATTAAAAAAAAACAAGTGACAAAAAAACAAAAGGGCGCATTTTTTTAATAGAACGGGTTCCTTTTTCTGTAGTATTCATAAAAAGCTTGAAATTCTCTTTACAATGATATCAAATAGGTTATAATTACTTTAGAAATTAAAGCTACGGTCACGTGATTAAAACCTATCGCAGTAACTGTGGAAATTGAAAAAAAAGCATAAAGGAAGCGAAAAAAACAAATGAGAAACAGTCACGAAATAACTAATTACAACTTAAGGCTAATTAAACAAATTGTAATGGGTGTTCGAAATGTCCCCCATTGTTCTGGATATACCCAGCCGGGAACTTTTTAATAAATTTCTGCGCACTAGTTATAATATGTGAGGAGCTACGCGATGGCAGGCTGCAAAGATCTGGTCACAAGACCACCGTTTGCTATCCAATTATTCCTAAACATCAGACGTAAAATGTCTTTAACATTTTTATGAATTGTGTGGGGGTACCCCGTTTTGTTGAAACCACATACCACGCCGGATAACTAGTGATGCATTTTCCAGCAAATCGTTAAAACCATTTAGGGAGTTCTTTCATCAAAATAGGGACCTAACAAAATCATTCACAACACCCAGCCATACATATTTTGGTGCATGCATGGTTTCCTAGGATTTGTCATCCCAGTAGCGATCATTTTTCTTGTTTCTGGTAAAGCATGATTCATTTCATCACTTCAAATTATGAAAGGGATTAAACGATCGCGGTTGATTTTATCCGTCGGTACGTTGGTAGGGCTTCATTTTGATCTTTTTGAGAAGTGGAAATATCTTGTAGGTAGTAGCTAAATCTCTTTTGTTTTTGTTTAAATTTCCACAGTTACTGCGATTGGTTTTAAAAACATTACTGTAACTTATTTCTAAGGTAATTATAACCTATTTGATATATCAATGTAAAGAGAACTTCAAGCTCGTTAAGAACATACAGAAAAAAGTAACCGTTCTATTTAAAAAAATATTTTTTGATGCTCTTTTGTTTTTATTATTTCAGAATTGTATTCCTATTCCTATTCTCCTTGAACTTAACTTGAAACAATCTATTGGCGCAACTTTTCATGAGAATTTTTAGGACCGGGTTGATTTTATAAAATTGCCACTTCTGTACCATTTTCGCTTTTCATAAAATGACAATTTCAAACTGGCATGGGTATGACGTTAAAATTTGTGCGTAAAATTCGATTATAGAATCAAAGTAGCCGATATTTTGCGCCAGAGGCCACCCAAGTTGGCTACGTTGGTTCGCGTCCCGCAACACTACCCCTGTATTATAGTAGATTACTTTCGTCCCATTCTACATCAAACATATCGTTTCGTATTGTGAAAACTATGATAGTAAAATGCACGAATAGTGTTTAGGTGTAATTGTAAATAAATATTCAACTAGAATTGTATTATAAATACGTTATTTAACGATATTATTTATAACTGTTTCTTTGATTCGACGCACATTATTTATACAGCATATTTATATAAGCATATAATATATATAAAAAAAGGTATGTTCCCGGTGAACGACAGTGATGGAATTTAGCTATTCTGTTCGCTGGCTTTTTGAGTTGTTCAAATTTGTATAGATAGAATAGGATTTGTGCCATTTCTTTTGCACCATAGAATAAATGTTTAATTTCCGGAAAATTTTGCTATGCTCCCCATGCGGTCGAGCATATCAAAAT